ACAGGAACTTCCGAAAGTCCGCACGGATATCTTGGACCGACGCAGGGCCCCCTCTCTGGAACGCGGAGCGCGCCAGGGGCGACGCTGGAGGCGCCGCCAAGTCGACAGGAGTGCCCCAGGAGCCTTGGGCGTTGCTGAGTGCGTGGGGGGGCGATCAGTGGGGGGGGGGGGGGCGGGCCAAAGACACGTGAACCTCTCGTGCCCCCTCCGGGCACGGGAGGGGTCCCTTCGGGCCCCCGGAGTGGACGCAAGGTCAAGGTGCACCTCTTCTATGAAGGGGCCCCAGGACACACAAATAAATACACACAAATAAAAATATGCCCCATATTTTCCCATATGTTCTGTGTTTTTGTCTTCCCGCCCAATTCCCATATTTTCCCATATTTTCCTGGGAATCGACGATTGATTGTGTCTGTGTGTTTTTTCCCCTCCTGATTCTACCCCCCCCCCCTGTTCTCGCCCCCCCCGCCGCCGAGCGCAACGCCCGAGGGCATCCCCGCGCAGCCTCGGCCGGGCGGCCGACGGCCGGCGCCGCCGGCGGGCCCCGGGGCGGCCCCGCCTGGCCGGGGCCAGGCGGCGCTGCCGGGCGCCGCCCGGAGGCTGCCGCGCTTTTGGAGGGCGGCTGGAAAATTTATACTCCATAGGGTGCCACCGGAAGGGTATATAAACTTTCCAGCCGCCCCTGGGACAGGCGCCCCCGACAGCGAAAAAGTGTATGGTATACCGTTCTTCGCCCGTTAAGGAAGGGGTGGCCCCGGTGCGGGGACACCAAGGCAAGGGCGGCTGTGTTCGCACTTGGCGCTGCGCGATTCGTAATTAGGGGAGCGAAGAAGGACATCAACATGAAAACTCGGAGGTCCGCGCGGACTTCTCGGATCGGCGCTGGACCCACCTCCCTGGCGCGCGGAGCGCGCCATGGGCGGCGCCGGAAGCGCCGCCAGGGGGGTCCAGCGCGGATCCGAGAAATCCGCGCGGACCTCTGAGTTTTTATGTTTATGTCATTCTTCGTTCCCCTACGAATTGCGAAGCGCGACGCACGAATAATTCCACGGTCTCACGCCGCCCCCCCTGAGGGGAAGAGGAGGACGAGGAGGAGGAGGAGGAGGAGGAGGAGGAATCGCGAATCGCAAACTGTCAAACTGGGAACCGCGAATGACTGCGCGCCCTCGTGGCCGCCCTCAGACTCAGGTCAGGGGCCGGCAGACACGGTGGTGTTCGGGGGGCCGCTTCCTCCCGGACGCGCTGCCGAGGCAGCTCGACGAGCACGACCCTCCGTGGGCGGATGTCGATCCTGATGCAGGCGGGCTCAGTTACCGTCTCCAGAGAGGAGGAGGAGGAGGAGGAGGAGGAGGAGGAGGAGGAGGAGGAGGAGGAGGAGGAGGAGGAGGAGGAGGAGGAGGAGGAGGGGGAGGGGGAGGAGGAGGAGGAGGAGGAGGAGGAGGACACCCTCCCCCTCCTCGATCCTGATGCAGGCAGATGCAGGCAGGATGTCGATCCCCTGCGGACAGGCGCCAAAACGGAGCACCCCAGAACGGGCGGAGCCCGCCGCGCCCTCGGCGCCCGGGGGCCGCTGCCGGGCCGCGGCTGGGCCCTCGGAGATCGGTCTAGGGCGAGAGGCTGGCCAGGACGGGACGGGCCCCGGGCAGGGCTCGGAAGAGAGGAGGCGCGGCGGGTGGAGAGACATATAGGGGGCCACATGCGAACCCTACCCCTACCCCCCACGAGTTCTGACGGGGAGGGTGGGGTTCACTTCGCTCGAGAGCTCCCGAACGAAGTGAACCCCACCCTCCCCCTCAGAAATCGTGGGGGGTAGGAGTAGAGTTCGCATGTGGCCCCCTAACATACCGACACCGACGCGCTTCCCTCGCCTTGGTCTCCTCGGGCCTCCTGGGGGGGGATGGGGAAAGGGGCGTCGCCACGGCTGTATCCGCCTCGGAATCCTGGTCAGAACGCACCCAGGGGTGCCCAGGGAGCATCGGCATCGATGTCTGTCAGAGTGAGGGGGGCGAACGGTCATTCACTGTCCCTGGGCGCGTGTCTGAAGTGAGGTTCTGCGGTGCGGATTGTTGTTGTTGTTGCTGCTGCTATTGCTGCTGTTGTTGTCGGTGTTGTTATTGTTGTTGGTAGTGTTGTTGGTGTTGTTGTTGTTGATGTTGTTATGGGTGGTGTTGGTGCTGGTGCTGGTGTTGTTATTGTTGGTGGTGGTGTTGTTGCTGTCCCTATTGTTGTTGTTGCTGTTGCTGGTAGTGTTGTTGTTAATGATGCTGTTGTTGATGTTTGTTGTCGTCGCCCCCCCCGCAAAACCGCCCGCGACCAACCCGCGACCCACCCGCCACTCAACCCGCGACCCACCCGCCCGGCGGCCCACCCGGCGACCCTCCCGCGACCCATCCGCAACCCACCCCGCAACCCACCCACGACCCAACCCACGACCCATCCAGGTCGCTTTAAGGGAAAAACATCGGCGCCTGCGGCGGGCTCACTGCATAATTCGTGAAAGCTAGGCGCCTGCGGCGGGCTGCTTCAGAGCCTCGCAGACTGCCGACGTCCTCGCCGCCTCCTCACTCTTATCCGCAACTGCGGAGTTTTACGTGTTTGTGCCCCAGACACACTTGTTGCTCGGCGGCCGCGCGCGTTCGCCGCGTCGCGGCTAAGAGTCCGACGCGCCCGGCGCGGCAGAGTAGGAGAAGACGAGGCCGCCAACCGAAGAGGCGCCAGGCGTGGGGCCATGGTTGCGTAGCCATGCTCACGCGCACCTGAGCCTCGCATATTTGTCCTCCATGTTCCGTCCTCCGGGTTCAAAAACGTCCGAGCTCCCTGCCCTCTGGGGATCATATCCCGACATGGGCCCCGCCCCTCCTGCACACGCATGATGCTTCTGCACCCCCATGCTCCCGCAGACTCGCAAGCTTCTCGCCCAGCCCGACAGTAGCGTAGCGAAGTGGATGGAAGCACCAAGAGCATCAGCGGGCGCAGGGGGGGCAGAGGCGCGGCATCCCTCTTGCGTGGTCGCCCGCCCGCCGTGCTCTTGGACCCCCTCGCAAGAGGAGCGCCGCGCGACCGTGCCACGCACCGCGAGGTAAGGGGGGGTGAGCATGGCGGAGTCGGGCCCTTCTTCTACCCATCGGCCATTTCTTGATATCTGCCCATAGAAACCGCAAAACGCATACAGTCGGGGCGTTGACCTAAGGAATCCTAAATAAGGAACGAGGCCCCTTTTCTCCACAAGTGAAACTTCGATTTCCCATCGAGAATATAAGGAAAACCTGAGACAAGCTGTGAAACAATTCAGGAACACGGAGCCCCTCCCCAACGAAAAGGGTTCCTTCTTCAGGGCCCCGACTGCAGACGTAAACGTTCACAGGTCCGCATAGAACTCTTGGGCCAGCGCTGGGTCCCCATCCCCTGGCGCGCGGAGCGCGCCAGGAAGACAGCGCTCTCCAATCGACCGGTCAGCAACCTGCCCGAATTCCTTCAGGGTTCCCGAGGCGTTCCAGGATGTCTGCAGAGAGGCCGGGCCCGAAGGCCCGACCCCCAATGGTGGCCCGCAGGATGCGGCCGACGGACCTTTTCCCTCCACTGGTGAAGTGCGGGGTGCAGGGCAGTTTTTGATACATGGGATGTTTAAAACTAGATGCTCTGGAATACATGACGAATCTAGGAATAGATGTATGCATGAACTCAGCGTTGTTTTTAAAGGAACAAATCCCCTGCATGTTTCATACATGATCCGCACGCGGAGCATGTATTAAAAACGGCACTGTACCTTGCTCCTCGATCGGGTGTACCGCAGGAGGGGGCCAAGGAAAAGGAGGGGGGGGCGCAGCATGGCCCGCGGCACGTGCGCGGAGGAGGAGGAAGGGCCAGGGGACGCGTGGAGGGCAGAAGCGGGGAACACGAAATCTGAGAGATGCCGTGGCCCAGCTATACAGGGCAGTGTTTAATACATAGGATGAAAAACATAGGTTGTTCCCCTACCTAGGCTCTGCCTAGAAGGGTTCTTACTCTCTTAGCTTAAAGGGGCCGGGCAGTGCAAAGCGCCCCGGGCGGTTCCCCCAGTCCCCGCCCCGCGGTTCCCCCCAGTCCCCTGGGAGCTTTAGCTGTAGCTTTAGCTTTAGCTTTAGCTTTAGCTTTAGCTTAGCTTTAGCTTAGCTTTAGCTTAGCTGTAGCTTAGCTTTAGCTTAGCGTTTCGCTTAGCTTTTCGCTTAGCGTTTAGCTTAGATTTAGCTCAGCGTTAGCTTAGCTTTAGCTTAGCTTTAGCTTAGCTGTAGCTTAGCTGTAGCTTAGCTTTAGCTTAGCTTTAGCTTAGCTTTAGCTTAGCTTTAGCTTAGCTTTAGCTTAGCTGTAGCTTAGTTTTAGCTTAGCTTTAGCTCAGCTTTAGCTCAGCTTTAGCTTAGCTTTAGCTTAGCTTTAGCTTATCTTTAGCTTAGCTTTAGCTTAGCTTTAGCTTAGCTGTGGCTTAGCTTTAGCTTAGCTTTCGCTTAGCTTTAGCTTAGCTTTAGCTTAGCGTTACTGTTACTACTAATGCTGCTTTTCTAGGGGGTCCAACTCCTAGGTAGGGTCGCACTGGGATAATTTAATACATGATCAATGCATGAATGAATTTGTGCATGAACTCACCGTTGCTTTTAATACTGAATCCCTGCATTCTTAATACATGATCCGCACTCGGAGCATGTACTAAAAACGGCACTGTAATATCCACACACCCCTAGTCCGCACCCGCCCCTTGGACGCCCCCCACTCGATCCAGGCTCTCTTCCATCAGAGGATCCCAAGGGCTCAGTGTCGGCGGCGCTCCACAGGGGGGAAGGCATAGGGGGCGGACCTCAGAAGGCTCAGAAGGCGGCCTTCTGAGAAGCCTCTGAGCCTCCTAAGCTTAACGAGCTTTTCAGCTTCGAAGCCCCCTCCCACTTCCTCCCTCAGCCGTCCGCCGACCGTGGGAGGCGCCGCGCCTCCCGCCCGCCCCGACCAGCCACACGGCGCGGGGGCGCGCTGGCCTTGCCGCCCGCCGCGTACGCCGGAGGACGGGCGCCGAAAGGCGCCGCGCCGACGCCCGCGGCGCCCACGGCTGGGGCCTGGCACGAAGAAGCCGACGGACGACGGACGACAGACGACGGACAGACGACGGACGAACACGAGACAGACAGACGGACAGACAAACAGGCAGGCAAGCAGGCAGGCAGGCAGACGGACAGACGACGAGGAGGCTGGCGACGGAGCAGGACGCCTTATCCCAGCCCTTGTCCTCCTCCTCCTCCTCCACCTCCACCTCCCTCCTCCTCCTCCTCCACTCCTCCTCCTCCTCCTCCACCTCCTCCTCCTCTCCTTTCCTCTCGATATCCTCCTCCTTCCTCCTCCCTCCACCTTCCTCCTCTCCTCCTCCCTCCTCTCCTCCCCTCCTCCTCCTCCTCCTCCTCCCCTCCTCTCCTCCTCCTCTCCTCCTCCTCCTCCTCCTCCCCTCTCCTCCTCCTCCTCCTCCTCCTCCTCCTCCTCCTCCTCCTCCTCCTCCTCCTCCTCCTCCTCCTCCTCCTCCTCCTCCTCCTCCTCCTCCTCCTGGCACCCGCAAGTTTGCCCCGCCCAAAAGCAAAGCCAAGACGGGTGCGAGACCAAAGCCAGGACGGCCTCACCGCTCGACAAATATCACCGAACTGAGCGGCCCACAGGAGGAGATCCAGGTCCACCCCGATGGCCCGGTCACGCCGCCCAACGAAGACGCGCTCCCGCAGACTTGCCTGTCTGAGCGGGTCGTTCCCGACCTGCCGACCGTCAACTAGACAGACCAGCAGCAACAAGAAGGCCAACGACCACAGCATCGTCGAGGTGGGCGCGGCGTGCCTCGCCTGCGTGGCAGGCCAGTCCTGGCACGACGACTACAAGAAGATGCTCGTCAAGATGGGCCTCGGCAAGCAGATCTTGGAGGACGCCGAGGACGAGACCGACAGGTATGGCAACGGCGAGACCCTGCCGAGCAAGCTACGCGTGACCACGCCACTCGTCCTGTGCGGCCGCGCAGGCAGAATCGTCAGCGTTCTGGAAAGCCCGACTCTCGGCCTGATGCTCGGCAGGGATTCGTCCACCCGTCCAGGATCGACATCTCGCTCTGGAAGGGCGAAATCCGCATCCGGAATCATGCCCAGAAGCTCGTGACGAGCAGCGCGGGACATCCCGCGATCAAGCTGCAGCCTGAAGAGTGGCAGGCGATCACGGCTGCTGGCAGCGAGCTCGGCACCGCCATCTCCCAGATGCGCGGCGGCCGAACAACGACCAGCATCCGTTCAGGGAACGGGGCGTGCATGAAGGTTCCCTTCACGTCGAGCTTCATCATTCCCCACCGTCGCACCCTTGACAGCTTTGCCGCGCGCAGAACTGATCCCACCCTTGCTTGAGCTGTCCACAACTGCTCGGTCGCGTCCTTCTTCATGAAGTTCCCGCAGACACAGCCTCGGCATTTATGCGCATTGCCCGGTTTGACAGACCAGACAGCGACCATAGGGAGCACTGCGCTTCTCCCCCCCACGGCCGCCAGTTCCTCTGGAGTCGTGACAGATACAGCGCCCAAGCGGTAGAAGCTGTTCTGCACTTCAGCTTCTGCGGCCGTTCTCCAGGCCTCGTGCTCTGCGCCGGCGCTGTTGCGAACCATCTTCTCCTCGATGATCCTCGCCCCAGGCTCGAGCAACTGTGACTCCTCGGTCAGAGCACCCACATGCTGCCATGACTCTGGCTCTTCGGGGTGCGTGCCTGAATCTGCACACCCATCAACGGCAGCTGCATAAGTTGGCGTCCACGTAAACGTTGCGGCCAAAAGCACGGTACATATGGTCGCTGCCGGAAACCTCATACTGGCAGACGACGTAGGCGGTCCCAGCGTATGCGTAGATGCCGTACTGGATGGACGTGTACAAGTAGATGATGATGATGATGATGATGATGATGATGATGATGATGATGATGATGATGATGATGATGATGATGATGATGATGATGATGATGGTGATGATGATGATGATGATGATGGTGATGATGATGATGATGATGACGCTGAAGATGATGATGATGATAATCATAATGATAATGATGATGATGGTGATGATGATGATGGACGTGATGGCGAACAACTTGAGCCAGTCGAATCAGCTTTTGTGGTTTGGGGCAAACAAAGTATGTAGGTGACAAATCCGATGCCGCTCGAAGCTTCCAGTGCTTCTTCCTCGTGCTCCGCTTCTTGGCAAAATGATTCGGGTCCACCTCGGCTCGTCGTCCGGAGTTGGCCCGGCGCCAGCTGTCTCAGATTCAACAGGCTTGCCTTGTGCGGCATCGTGTTCCTGTGAGCCCCTGCCACAGGTAGGCGCCCGCTCACATTGTCGCCCTTTATCAAAAAAAACATTCGATGTATCCGTTAGATCAGCCAGCTCGTCGTTAGGAACCTCGGTGGCGCCGCCTTCGTGGTCATTGCGGTCGGAGCCGTACGTGGCCACCGCTTCTGAAACGTCGCTGAATACCAATCTGGCGCGTGGAAACTGGTGAGGGTGGTTTTGAAATTTGTTCCACTTCATCGACGCCAATCCTCCTTGCTTGATGCCACTCTGCGAACCAATGGTCGCCTTCCGAAAGGTGTTCGGGAAAGAGTCTTGGCCGGCAGCCTTCAACTCCTCGCTGTCCTCCTCGATCAGCTCCTCCACCCGGATCTGCGGAGCCTCCAGAGCCTCCTCCTTGTGAGGCATTTCGGGTGGGTCGCGGGTCTCTGCCTGCTCAAGGAGAAAGCCGCCGTCGAATGTTCCAGCGTCAGAGCGTCCAGTTTCTCCGGGCGATATCTGCTCAGGGTACCAATCCACGTTTGGTGGGAGCTCGCATGGTGCAACAGGAGTGTCGTAATTCTGCATAGGCATATTCACAAACGCGATCTCGTCTGCCGTCATGTCGCTCAGCTGGAAGTTCGTAACTTCACGGAGCCAGCCGCCAAGGTAGACAACCATTCCGCCGGGGACTCTCTCGGAGGGCCCAGACGCAGCAGCCGGAAGCGATCGCGGTACGAACGCGTTGGGCGGATCTTGCATCACCATCACCCGCGATCCGTACGGAACTGCTGGCGTCGTCTCCAGACCAGCATCACACCGAGATTAAAACGCAGCTGCGGTGACGGCGGTACCCCACCAACATGAAGGGCATCTGGCTCCAGTGAGTAGGTGTCGTGCGATTTTCTTCAGAAATCCTATTGCGTTCTCACCCTGGCCATTCCCCCTGGGGTCGCACCCCTGTGCGCGGGTGCGTCGGATTCCCCATTGGCGGCAGTAGTCTTCCACTTCCTTACTCATGAACTCCTGCCCCTTGTCGGAATGGACTCTGTACACCACCTCTTTTGGCAAACTAGCATGATCATCGCGTACACGAGCCAGCAAAGACATTGTCGCCTTCGCTGCTTCTCCCTTGGAATGAATCACAGCAGCATAAATCAGAGGCAACTTATGCACAACAAGTGGTTCCTCCCCGACGTCATGGGTTGGCTCGTGCTGCGGTCCTCGGGAGGCACCCCGGTCAACCTTCCGCGCGCTCTCGTCGACGCGGATCGTGACGGCCAGGGAGTAGTGGCCCGGTCGCTGCCCAACCTGGTTTCCAACTTGGTGCGATTTACGATGATGACCCAGGTAAGAGCAAGTATGGGACACAAGATGTAGATGGGCGCATGCGAGAATTAAGGCGGAACGGGCAGAGTCTTGTCGCGCCGGCATGGGGTAGAACCAAGCTGCGTCCCCAATCCGTAGGCGTGCGAGGACACCACGCAACTCGAAGAGCTGCGGCGACCGTTGTTCAGGAGCGGTCCCTCCCAGCCCCACACGTAACGTCATGGCATAACATCACATGACTTCTTGTCTGGAGTTCTTGTCGCCCCGGCTGTCTGGATTTCTTGTCGCACCCGCTGTCTGGACTTCTTGCGCGCTGGCAGAAGGAACGTGTTTCGTGCAAGGCAAACTCCAACCTCCCGCATCGATATACACATAGACAAGCACAGCACATGCTGTCAATCCGCCAATTCATGCTGTCACTCTGCTCGCCCTGCCCTCTTCGGGTCGGGCGAAAGGGGGGGATAGCAAAGGGGGGTTTGAGAATCAGCTCTCGTAGCTGATTTTCCCGGCGCCTCCCAGCGCCGGAGGCGCCCATGTATCGAGGACTGGGCCCGGCGGCGGGGCAGAAACCAGCTGCATGCAGCAGATTTCGTAACCCCCCCTTTCCCAATCCCCCCCTTTCGCTCGCCCTGCCCTCTGCCTCCCCATGCTGCCCTTCTGGCCGCACCCTATCGGCACCCTTGGGCGCGCGACCAGGGGAGGAGGAGGAGGAGGAGGAGGCGGAGGCGGAAGAGGAGGAGGAGGAGGAGGAGGGGAGGAGGAGGAGGAGGAGGAGAGCTGGCCATCGGCACCCTGGGGCCCAAGACCGCCAACGTCTATCGGCACCCTGGGGCGCACGCCCGCCGCCAGAACCGCAGCACAGCCGGGCTGAAAGCAGTGCATCGCAAAGCAGAAGATTGTGCGAAGAATTGGCCACGCACTCCCTCCCTCCCTCCCTCCATCTCTCCCTCCCTCCCTCCATCTCTCCCTCCGCCATCCCGACCTCCTCCTTCTCCTCCTCCTCCTCCTCCTTGTCCACCTCCTCCTCCCCTCCTCCTCCTCCTCCTCCTCCTCCTCCTCCTCCTCCTCCTCTCCTCTCCTCCTCCTCCTCCTCTCCTCCTCCTCCTCCTCCTCCTCCTCCTCCTCCTCCTCCTCCATCCTCCTCCTCCTCCCCTCTCTCCTCTCCTCCTCCTCCTCCTCCTCCCTCCTCCTCCTCCTCCCTCCTCCTCCCCCTCCTCCCTCCTCCTCCTCCTCCTCCTCCCCCTCCTCCTCCTCCTCCTCCTCCTCCTCCTCCTCCTCCTCCTCCTCCTGCTCCCCTCGGTCTTCACATCGGTCGCCGCCTCCCCTCACCCAACGCACACACCCGGTTCCCACGCGCCGCCTGCGCGTGGTGGCGCGCGCCGCTCGCCAGGACACCCGGCGGGCCGAACTGCGACGTGCTGCGCGAGGGCGCGGCGGCGGAATTTGTCGTCGTCGTCGCCGGCATCGTTTTCGTCTTCGTTTTCGTCTTCGCCTGCGCCCTCGCCCTCACCCACGCCCTCGCCTTCGCCTCGCCGTCGTCGTCGTCGTCGTCGTCGCCCTTGCCCTCGCCCTCACCCTCGCCCTCGCCCTCGCCGTCGCCTTCGCCTCGCCGTCGTCATCGTCGTCGCCACCACCGCCACCGCCACCAACGTCGTCGTCGTCGTCGTCGCCCTCGCCCTCGCCCTCGCCCTGGCCCTCGCCTCGCCTCGTGGTCCTCGTCGTCGTCCTCGTCCTCGTCCTCGTCGTCGACGTTTTCGTCGTCCTCGTCGTCCCTGTCGTCCTCGTCGTCCTCGTCGTCCTCGTCGTCCTCATCGCAGCCGCCGTCGTCTTGGTCGTCATCTTGGGGGAGAGATAGATGCGGAGGGGGGGGAGGAGGAGGAGGAGGAGGAGGAGGAGGAGGAGGAGGAGGAGGAGGAGGAGGAGGAGGAGGGAGGAGCAAGAGGAGCAAGAGGAGCAAGAGGAGCCGGAGGAGCAGGAGGAGCAGGAGGCAGATGGAGGAAGGGAGGGATGGTGAGAGAAAAAGGACGAAGAAGAGGAGTACGAGGAGCTCAAGGAAGCGCCCGAGAAAGGGCTGCGCCCTCGGCACACAGCTCTCTGCACGCGTGGTGAAGCAAGTCACATACACTGGGCTCTAGCTTTCTTCGCTCGATGCGTGCTTCCCCGTACCTGCTGAGGATTGTGTATTCGATCCGCGAACGTGCCCTCGAGGCACGAGTTGGATTGTCCTCAGGTCCCCTGTTGGATCCTCTGGAGCCTGGAGCCTCAGTCCCCAAACCTGAGGAATTCAGTGCGGAATCCAGACCTAAAATTGCCAAATCTCTTGGGGCTCCCAGCGTGACCACCTGGGGTTTCTGGCGTCTTGCTGCATGACTTTTTCAGGGCCCAGCAGAGGGCCCCGAACGGGCCAAGAGGTTCCCAAGAGGTCCTCAAGACGGTTCAAGAGGGCCCCGAATCGCCGCACCATCGGTCCAAAGACGACCCAAAATGCCCCCAAGATGCCCGAAGAGGTCTCTCGAGAGGACCCCCAGAAGCACAAGTCATGTTTGTTTGGTCCTTATAGTTCGCAACGAATAGTTAGCACACTTTCGCCCCATTGAAGGTAGCAAGCGTCTCCAGAAGGCACCATTTCTTGAGTATTCGTGTTTACTCAAGAGGACCACTGTTTGCTAACTATGCGGTCTTGTGGCGCTCTGGAGCCTTGTGGCTCCGTCATTGTGTGCTAACTATGGGTCGGGGCCTGGGAAGGGTCTTGGGGCGCTCTGGGGCCGTCTTGAAGCCGTCGTGGGGCGGTCTTGGGCCGTCTGGGAGCGGTCTTCGGCCATTTTGAGGCCGTCCTGGGGCCGTCTTAGAGCCTTGTGGAGCAGCCGTCGTTGCGTGGTAGCTATAGGTCGGAGCCTGGGAGGGGTCTTAGGGGCGCTCTGGGGCAGTCTTGAGGCCGTCTTTGGGAGATATTCGGCCGTCTGGGAGCCTCCGTGGGCCGTCTGCGAAACGTCTTGGGGCCATCTTGCGGCGCCTTGGGCCGCCTGTATGTAGGCCGTTTTGGGGCGTTGTGGAGCCGTCATTGTGTGCTAACTGTGGGGTTGTGTCTGATTTCTCCCCCCTCCTCATCCTTGCGCCTCGCCTCCTGGTCCTTTGCTCCCCTGACTACAGGGCAGGTTTTAACACATAGGATGTTTAATACATTGGATTTTAATGCATGATCAATTTACTAATAAATCAATGCATAAATTCATCATTGCTTTAAATACTACTAAATCCCTTTATTACCTAACAGCGAAGACTGATAGGTTTCTAGTTGACTCAAAAGAGCTCACAGATCACTCCACAGGGGGGTCCGGGCAGGTGTTGGGGCGTTTCCGGGCGGCATGAGCCGGGCTCGTTTTTCACCAACAGTCACACACTTCGTGCTCTTCGCCTTCCCAGAACTCCATTCCCAGGCCACATTCTGGGGGGCCGGATGCAACAGTCACACACAAAGTGCTCTTCGACATCCCAGAACGCCATTCCCGGGCCACATTCTGGGGGGCCGGATGCAACAGTCACGCACTTCGTGCTCTTCGAGTTCCCAGAACGCCATTCCCGGGCCACATTTTGGATGCCCGGAGCCAACTGTAGGCCACTTCGTGCTCTTCTATTTCCCAGAACTCCATTCCCGGGCCACATTTTGAATGCCCGGAGCCAACTGTAGGCCACTTCGTGCTCTTCGAGTTCCCAGAACTCCATTCCCGGGCCACATTTTGAATGCCCGGAGCCAACTGTAGGCCACTTCGTGCTCTTCGAGTTCCCAAAACTCCCATTCCTGGGCTACCAGGAGGAGGAGGGGAGGGGGAGGACTACCAGGAGGAGGAGGAGGAGGAGGAGGAGGAGGAGGAGGAGGAGGAGGAAGAGGAGGAGGAGGACGAGGAGGAGGAGGAGGAGGAGGAGGAGGACATTGCCGGGCAACATTTTGAATAGCCAGACGCTTCATATTCCTTCCGCCACAGCTGTGTTTGGTTCAGGACTTGCTAGTGACACTGCAGTCCTCTGCATTCAATTGGCCACTACATTCATTCACTGCAGTCCACTGAGTTTTGATTGCAATGGCGTTCCCCTGGCCGTACCCCCATGTCCAACGTTCATCCGCAGCCTCTGCTCCGCGAGGCTCGTCCGAAGTGTCGCCGCCTCGCGGTGCTTCTCAGCCTGCGCCGCCTCGCGGTGCTTCTCAGCCTGCGGAGGAAGGTGGACAGACGCCTGGTTCTGGCGCTGTGCAGCCTGCGTCTTTCACGGTCGCCTCGTTCAATTTCGGGTTCGAGCAGGGCATGATGACTGGTAAGCAGGCGGCCACTCACTGCGCTAACTTCGGAAGGTTGTGCGCCAAGATAGTGGAGACCGCTGATGCTGATATGGTCTGTGGCTGCGAGGTCGGTGCGTTCCGTGAAGGCTTTCGCCGAGCAGGGATCAACGTGACAGACATCCTCAGTAAGCCTTTCGGTGATGGCATTCGCTTCTTGGAGGTCGACAACTACTTGACTCTCTGGGGGTTCCGCGGTGCTTCTCAGCCTGCGGAACTGACTCTGTGCGAAGACAGCAAAGTTTACAGGCCTCCTAGCGGCCGAGATATTGATGCTGTTATTTCACATTTTGAGGTGAACAAACCAGGCCATGACAAGTTCCACGTGGTGATCGCCAACATGCACATCGTGTGCGGCAAGAAACCGCCGAGCATCCAGACTCGAAAGCGGACAGTTCGCCATCTCCGCTTGCACCTGGACGGCCTGGCCAAGATTCTTGAGAATCTAAACGAGGCAGTCGTTGTGCTTGTAGTCGGCGACGACAACCTCACTTTTTCCAGGAGGCGCGGGAGGCTTACCAGCGCGAGCAGAACGACGAGAAGGTATGGGAGGTCCATGCCACTCCGGCCGACCTCAAAGGCGACCACGTCGCGGTCTGCGGAGCAGTCGCCCGTTTCTGCTCCATTGCCGTTGGCGCGTCTTTTACGGATCGTGGCATGCGCAACGACGCACACGATGCGGTGGCGGTTGTGCTCACTCTCCCTGGTGCTATTCAGCCTGGGGAGAGCAAGAGGCGGAAAATTGTCGTCGAAAACGTCTCCGACGCCGACGTCAGCGTACAGGCGGACCGCGAGTCTTCTGTGCATTGGGATCGGTCGCCGAGTTCTGCTCCTCCGCTTTCACCGACTTCACCGGGTGATCCCGACTACGTCGAGGATGTCGTTCAGAATCGCGCGGACGACTTGCACAGGGAGCTGAGGAAGCTTTGGGACGACAGGTACGACGAGGAGTACGATCCGAAAGTCCTCCATCATCTCAGTCTCTTGCTTTTCAAAAAGAGGAAGTCCACGGAGCCAGCGGACACTGATCCAGCTGGCGCTCCTCAGCCTGGCTCGGAATATGACACGGCCTTTGCGTCTCAGGAGGAGACTGGCCGAGCCATTCTCTCTGTCCTTAAGCTTCGACATGACTTTCTGCGGAGCAAGAACATCGACGACATGCGCTACGTTCTCACGGAGCCTGAGCGCCAGGAATTGGTCAGAGTAGCTCGCGACCAGTACGAGCAGTCGCGGCAGCAGCGTGCGCTTCAGGAACGGGATATCGAAAAGGGAAAAGCGAAAGGCAAGTCTGCGCCACAAGGGGGCCATGCGGTTCCGCAGGGTCCGAACAAAGGGCCAGGCGGTAAGAAAGGTTCTCACGGTGCTTCTCAGCCTGCGGGAAAAGGTGGCCAGGCCAAGGGTGCAGGTCTGGGTAGCGTCGCCAAGTTTGTGAAAGACCAGAAGCGTAAGCGGTGGCATCGCCATTTGCAACGTGTGGCCGGTACTAAACAGATCTGGGAGGTGCTGGCCTTCTCAGGGCGCTTCGACGTTGATTGGTTAACGCAAGCGTTGCAAGCTGATCACAGCGAGGGCCGTGATGCAGCAGTTCCCGAGGAAGCTCTGCGGCAACAGCGGCGCCGGCTGCACCACCAGAAGGCCGAGGCCATCGCGCGCTACAACGAGGGGGAGCGGCTTTCCCTATATCTGTCTGCCCAGGCTGGCCAGGCAAAGCCGAACTTCACGCGCAGGCAGCAGGACGTGTTGCAGATGTTTGAGAGCGGAGCGCTGCTTCAAATCCGCAACCAAGCGATTCTGGCGTGCGGGCACGGCCGTCTGTTCAGGGGCGATGGCGACTACCTGGACATCGGCGGCAGCACGGGCGGTGGCTCCAGGCGCATCATCGATTCTTGGCAGCCGCCGGACTGGCGTGACTTCCTCCAAGACGATCAGGACATCTGAGTTTTGCAAGTCTCTCTGCCCGCGGTGCTTCTCAGCCTGCGGTCTGCCGCTCTCCAGCTGCGGTCTCGAGCAGTAGTGTTCGAAAGCATGCGAGTTCCTGCGGTGCTTCTCAGCCTGCAGGTTTCGCAGCCTGCGCTCTGCAGTACAAGTGCTTTTCAGCATGCGACATCCTGCGGTGCTTCTCAGCCTGCAGGGTTCGCAACGTGCGGTTTGCAATGCATTCCTTTTCAGTATGCGAGTTCCTGCGGTGTTTCTCAGGCTGCAGGGCTCCGAGGCTCTTCGCTTCGATGCCATTGTTTTCAGACACCGTAGCTCCGTTCCGTAAACGTCTTCCAAGAGCCGCTCGCAACCTTTTGCAGCTGGCTGTCTGCACGCTTCGCCGGCTTTTGCTGCGCGGACACTTTTCACACACACGTCAGCGCCGTTTGTAGGCGTCAGAAAAACATGTAGACATTCACGAAGGGCTCAGTCTGTATATCGTCACATCATTACATACGCAGTCGTCGAACACATCGGTGTACATTCAGCGCTTTGTCCTTCTAGCTGGGTTGCTTCGTGCTGAGGCTGAGGCTGATGCAGGCTGAGGCTGAGGCAGGCTGAGGCTGAGGCCGAGGCTGACGGCAGACTGAGGCTGAGGCTGAAGCAGGCTGAGGCTGAGGCAGAGGCAGGCTGAGGCTGAGGCTGAAGCTGAGGCAGGCTGATGCTGAGGCAGGCTGAGGCTGAGGCTGAGGCTGATGCAGGCTGAGGTTGAGGCAGTCTGAGGCTGAGGCCGAAGCTGAAGGCAGACTGATGCTGAGGCTGAAGCAGGCTGAGGCTGAGGCTGAGGCAGGCTGAGGCTGAGGCAGGCGGAGGCTGAGGCTGAGGCAGGCTGAGGCTGAGGCTGTGACTGCGACTGCCGTTGCCACTGCGACTGTCATCGCGAATGCGACTACGACTGCGAGAACAGCAGAACTCTACAACTGGATTCTCATTTGAATCTTAAGGGGAATGCTTCCAGATATGCTCCTACACATCGCTGTTAGGTTGCTTTGCCGGGATAATTTTTAATACATGATCCGCATGCGGAGCATGTATTAAAACTGGCGCTGTAGTTCACACAAAGAGCGCCCTGGGACAGTCCGAGAGATGCGCCCCCTCTTCTTCAGCACCCCCCTCTCGGAGAGTCTGCAGCATCTGTGCTGCCTGCGTGCCCCTGCCCCGGCCACTGCGCGCCATTGGTGCTTGCCTCCTGGGGCCTTCTTGGGGACACTATTGGAGCGCTCCGGGGGCCTCTCGGGGCCTCTCGGAGGCCTCTTGGACCCGTCTGGGGACATCTTCGGGCGGAAGGCTCGGGTTTTCGGTTCGCGTTCCCCTTCTAGGGCCCCATTTGGGGCCGTCTTGGGCGCCTCTGGGGCCGTCTTGGGGCCGTCTTGGGGCCGTCTTGGGGCCGTCTTGGGGCCCTCTTGGGCCGTCTTGGGGCTGAGGGCACCGGCTACATAGCACACAATGGCGGCAAGACTTCCCAGCCCTCCTCTGGAGGAGGAGGAGGAGGAGCAGGAGGAGGAGCTGGCGAGATGGCCAAACACCTTGAAACACCTCAGGGAAATCATTGATGCTTGCCTCTTGGGGCCTTCTTGGGGATACTATTGGAACGCTCCGGGGGCCTCTTGAGGCCTCTTGGACGCATCTTGGGGCCGTCTCGGGGCATCTTCGGGAGGAAGGCTCGGATTTTCGGTTCGCGTTCCTACTCTAGGGCCCCTCTTGGGACCATCTTGGGCACCTTGGGCCGTTTCGGAGCCCGTTTGGGCCGTCTTGGAGCTGAGGGCGCCCCTCTTGGGCTCTCCTCTGTCCCTCCCCTCCTTGCACACTGAAAAACACGAGGGTTCGTATTTTTAGTGAGTGTGCTTCCGAGAAGAAACTCGAGCGAAATGGTTTTTGGGCAACTTGGCAACGGTCTGGCCCGAGAACTTCTTCAAACAAAAAACACATAGATAGAATACAATGCATAATTTGTTTGCGAGCTATTCGCTGCGAATTAAAAAATGTTTGAAATATGTTAGCGCTCTCGCCTTTTCGGGGTCCCGACGCTCCAGGCCGCCAAGCTCGCCCCAAGACGGCCTGGGAGGCCCTCCAAGAGGGCCCCAAGGGGCCCAAAAACGGCCCCAGAAGCGCCCCAAGACGGCCCAAGAGGCCTCCAAGTCGGCTCAGAGCGACCCCGACGGGGGGACCACCCAAGAGGCCCCCAAGAGGCCCCCAGGAAACCCTAAAAAGCTCCCAAGAGGCCCTCAAGAGGCCCCAAGAGGCTCCTAAGAGGCCCCAAAACTGCCCAGAAGAGGCCTCCGAGAGCGCTGCGAAGAGACGCCAACCCACAACCCAGGCAAGGTGGCGGGATGAGCCGAAGGCCATCATATAGTTGCTATGACTTGTGTCCGAGGCCTTCGACAAATGCCCCCCCCCAGGTTGAAAAAAGAGGCTGGCGCTGTGTCATCATGACTGGTATCAAGACTGTTATCGAAACATGCGTCATTGTCACCGCCACCGTAATGATTCTCATTACGACCACCATCACCATCATTCAAATGTCGTCATCATCGTTATCATCGTCGTCACCACCATCATCACCCCCATCATCACCATCACCATCACCATCACCATCACCATCACCATCACCATCACCATCGCAGTCACCAACCGTCAACAGACTCGTAAGAATGATAATACTAATAGTACCAATAATTACAATGAAAATAGTTGTAATAAAAATGGAAATAATGATAATAATAATAGTAGTAATAGAAATAATATCCATATTGAAAACAAGCATCATCATCATCATCATCATCATCATCATCATCATCATCATCATCATCATCATCATCCTCATCAGCATCCTTATCATCATCATCATCAGCAGCATCAGCATCATCATCATCATCATCATCATCATCATCATCATCGTCATCGTCATCATCATCATCATCAAAAACATCATCGTCATCATAATCAGCATCAGCATCATTACCATCATCAACAGCAGCACCATCATCAGCAGAATCATCATCCTGATCACCATCACCATCATCATTATCATCATCTGCAGCATCATCATCATCATCATACTCATCATCATCATCAGCATCATCACCATCATCATTATCAGCATCAGCATCACCATCATCATCGTCGTCGTCGTCATCATCTCCAGCATCATCAGCGTCATTACCCATCATCCTAATCATCATCAGAATCATCGTCATCATCTTCAGCATCTTCATCATCATAATCAGCATCATCGCCATCCTCATCGTCATCAGCATCTCCATCTTCACCATCAACTACAACCGCATCGTCGTCATCAGTGGTATCAGCAGAATCATCATCATCATCATCAGCATCATCATCGTCATCATCATCGTCAGCATCAGCATCATCATCAAGATCATCATCCTCATCATCATCAGCGGCAGCAGCAGCATCAGCATCAGCATCAGCATCAGCATCATCAGCGGCAGCAGCAGCATCAGCATCAGAATCGGCATCACAATCATCAGCATCATATTCACCATCAACAGCATCATCGTCATCAGTGTTATCAGCATCATTATCAGCATCATGATCATCGTCGTCGTGTTCGTCAGCATCATCATTGTCATCCCCACAATGACCATCGCCATCAGTACCATAATCAGAATCATCGTCATCATCACCATCATCACGATCATCATCCTCATCGTCACCGTCATCGCAATCACCGACCCCATCACCATCACCATCACCATCAGCATCAGCATCATCATACGCAGTACCAGTATCACCATCATCAGAAACATCAGCATGATCCATCTCAGAATCAGAAGTAGCAGCATCATCATCGTCGTGATTGTCGCCACTCTCATCATCAGAAGCACCACCATGCATCCCAATCACCCACATCGGCATAAACAGCATTGTCATCGTCATCGTCATCAGCATCACCACAATCACCATCAGCATCAGAATTATTATTAGTCTTATCATCATCAGCAGCGGCAGTATCGTCGTCGTTTTGGTCATTACCATCATCAACACCACCATCGCTGCCGCCAACATGAGTAGCATCATGAACACCATCATTGCCATCATCATCATCAGCACCTTCATCATCGTCATCAGTACCCCCGCCATCACTAGCACCGCTATCACCCACAACATCATGTTCACGATCATCACCACCAGTATCACCGACATCACCAGGCCCATCGTCATCAGAATCCTCCACCCCGTCGGCATCATCATCGTCGTCGCCGTCGCGGGCGTCGCCACCACCTCAAAGACCACCTACATCAGCAGCACCCCCATTTCCTCATCCGACCAAGCGCCCCCGCCCCGGCAAGGCGGCCGACTTGGGAGCCTGTGCTGCTGCCAGCCCACAACGCCGCCACCAGAGACGACCTTCGGCAGACAGGGCCAAATGGCCCGGAGGGGAGGAGGAGGAGGAGGAGGAGGAGGAGGAGGAGGAGGAGGAGGAGGAGGAGGAAGAGGAGGAGGAAGGAGGAGGAGGAGGAGGAGAAGGGCGGAGGAGAACGGCGGAGGAGAACGGAGGAGGGAAAGCAGCAGCAGGCGGAGCTGATTGGGGAATTCTCACGGGGATGAGGTGTGTAAAGGTTCTGGAAGACCCTCGAACCTCTCGGCCGCAGCACTTCGGCCACAGAGGGCGGCCCGTAGTGAGGCGCCAGAGCATACACCGCGTGGCCATCGCAGTGGACGCTCGGCGCTCTCACCCATGGCTCAGGAGCCTCAGCCCGAATGGAATGTCGTGAACCCTGGTGAACCCTGTCGGCTCATGGGTGGTCAACTCGTACGTGGGCCGAACTGACCATGACCCGGGTAGCAGATTGCGTCGGCACCCCGCAGCGGGGAGAGCCTGAGGACAGGCGCCTTACCTGATGTAATGTCGGCCGGCAGATGTTGCTTGACAGCCAGGAGCAGGGCGCTGCTCGCGGGGGCCTTGCACACATCGTGCCCAGCGCGCGCCCACGCCGCGGCACTAATCGTCAGGTTCATTCACTCCCTGGCTCTGCATCCTGCACACTGCTGGCGCTGGCCGTTGCGGCGCTTGCACTGCTGCACCCGTGCGCCTTGCATCGTAGGCGCGCACACGAAGCCCGCACAGCTGTCTGCGGCAGCGTGCCCCTCGCTGTGCCCCTCGCTGCTAACACTTACCAGGCACGACTGGTGGCTGGTTATCGGTAGCACTGTGTGGCAAATGCGCCGAGCCACCCAGATGTATTTTAACGAAGCGCGGGCGGTAGCACAGCACTGGCAATCTCTGTGGTGGCGTGCTGCCGTGTCGGCACCTCGTAGTGCAGGCGATACTGCAGCGCAGAAGCTGGGCGCTTGCACGCAGAAGCTGTCGAATGCCTGGCCAGTTGTGCCCACCAGACCGTCGCGACGAAGACGCTCGTGTTGTTGTCCACGGGACGCCAATTCCCTGCGAGGCCAGAAGGCCCTCGTAGGTGATAGGGGGCTGTCTGGCCGCTCATGGTAATGAACGGCTTCACGACGTGATCGTGTCGAACGCGGTCTGCAGTGAGCACGTGGTTGGGTCACCCTCGCAAGTGCCCTGTAGTCTGCACGTCTGATCCAGACATGCTCAAGCTCATCGGAAATGTGGCGGCGGCTGCCAATACGCACGTGCACTCCTGCTCCGTGGCGCGTTCCAGAAAAGATGCTGTGCCAGGCGGACGCACGAACATTCCCGATCGGTCCGTTGCAGGCGCGGCGGGACCCGCGCTGCTGGCAACAGCACGGCGAAGCCGGTGCGACCAGGTTGGCCCGCGCGGCCAGGCGGCGCGGACTTCGCCGACCGCCTCGGCGGCCGCCGCCGCCCCGCCACGTCCGCCCCAGCCCCCTGCCGCGCGGCGCCGGCGGGAGGCGCTCGCTGCGGCGGCCCGCCGTCTGGCGGCGGCCGTTGGTGGAGCGCCGCCCTTCGCCGGCCCGCCGGGGCTCCCTGGCGCCGCGGGCGCCGCTGGCGCGACGGGTGCCGCTGGAGAGCGGCGCGCGTCGCCGCTTGCCGCGGCGTGCCGGCCTGCGCGTAGCCTACAGCTGCGCATACGGATGCCCCCTCAGCTGGGCACTCACAGCACCTCACACGGTCTGGCGTTGGCCTCATCGTGTCTGTGAGCGTCGGGGGCCACTTGCCCAGAGACTTGCAGACCAGCCGTAAGCAGAAGCTGTTCAGGGAGTGGAGGGTGAATCGAAGGATGAAGAGATGGGGGGGAAGTGCGAATGTGCGCCCACCTCGCACTCTGCGCAGTCCAATGGATCTCGAGCTGGGATAGCTCCCAGCTCCGCTATTAACTAGAATTGCGGGTAGCATGAGTGAAAGGTAGACGACATGACGGCAGTGGTAACGTGACAGGTAGCAAAGTGCGTTTATTTTCCCTTCCATCTACTATGTTCTGCGCGCGTACATGCTGCCTCTCAGGAGACCCGTGAAAACTCTGGTCAAACTCAGAACAGGAGAGGGAGGAGCAGGGCAAGATCGGCACAAGGGCAAGGCAAGAGCAGAGACATGTTGAGTATGTCCGCCCTGTCAGGAGGATCAAATCGCCCTGCAAGAAGGGCGTCCATCAGAGGCTCCAAGATTGCGCCGATGTGGCCAAAAATGGCTCCAAGGTGGCTCAAGAGGGCTCCAAGACGGCCCTGAGAGAGCCCAAGAGGCCACAAGAACCCCAAGATGGCCCCGAGAGGCTACATGGTAGCCCCAATATGACCGCCAGACTGCACAAAATACTTAAAACTGAAGCTGATGCTCAAGATGGTGCCAAGAGAGCCTCAGAGAAATCGAAGGACACAAGGATCTTCAGACTGCGAAAGAAACTCAAGCACCATATGGATCCAATGTGTTGGTCGACAACTCCCATCTTATCGGTACATGGGTGTCCGCCCAGTCCAGTCCGTGGCCTGCTCTTTCTGCCTGCGAGGACTGGTGGCATAGCGCGAACATGGCCAGCAAGCGCCGACTCTGCAATAGCTGCAGCCGAACAGCGCTTTTATATCCGCCGCCGCGCATTGTGCACGTTGAGGCGTGATAGAATGATCCTTGCTGTCAGGTGGTATTTCTGTAACGTGTTCTAGGGCCGACCCCATGCTCTCCCCACGCCCGTGCCCCGAAAATCGCCCCCCTCTCTCTGGAGCCGGTTTCGTCCAAAAAAATGTTGTTTGCAGAGGCTCTCGAGGAGGACCGATGAGGCACAGTGCGCAGGCATTGTACATGTAAGTTCTATTGCGCGCGCGGCCCAGTCGAACTTCGCGCCTTGGACACGAGGCTTGCTTCTGGCATGGGGCATAGAAGCTCCGCACCGAAATCAACGGGCGCGCGCATGGGGGCTGGATAACAATTCGGGAAATCAAGCCCGCGATCACCCACCCGCCCGCCAAGGCAAATGATGCTTCCTGACAGTACGTTCAGAACTAGACTTTGTTTGTCTCCAGATGAGGCTACACTGATCACTTGTCCTGTGTGGTAGAGGCCACAAGCGGGACCGCCATCTCGAGCGTGGCCTCGCTAAGCACGCTTTGGTCTGACGCGGGATTTTTGTCGCCGGTGCCGAGGCTCGCAGCAGCGCCCGTCTTTCGTCCAGACTCCCACGCACGGGACGCTTGAGGGGTAATTTGACAGCGGGGCTGAGGCGAGTGAGATTTGGCGTGCCATCGGCAATGCGTGAGCTGATCTCTTCGTAGAGTGAGAAGCACAAAATGTCGCCACCGAGAATGTTGCTACTAGCGCCCTGAAGCAAATATCAGGGAGTGCAAGTTGCTGTGTGACCTCCTCGCTCGGGCGGTGCAATGGTTTGTGCTAGGTCCGAGGTGGCCATGCCTGAAGCTCTCAAGCGCAAGGCTCCGAAGGAGCCTGGGGGCCCAAGCTGGCCGTCATCGCCCACGACACGGACCCTCTGGCTCGAGGTTCCAGTGCTGTCTGGTGCAGGGGCTGTTTGGCGGCGGCCAGGACCTTGTCAGTGCCTAGTCGTCCCGAAAGCCTGTTGCCAAGTGCGTCATCCTCGATGCTGACGCCGCTTGCCCCTGCTGTTGAGCAGCCCAGATGGCGCGACGCGAAGGGAGGGGGGGGAGGGAGGCTGCTTCTCATCCCGCTGCTGGCCCCGAGGCGGGGGTGAAACATGTGTTCCCTTCGAGCGTGACGGACACCGGATCCAGAAATCTGGCCCGCAAGCCTTCTGACGACGGTGCGGCGCCCGACTCGGCGATGGGTCATCCAAGCTCGACTCTACCAGCAAAATTGTATCCAACAGAACCGCCGAACCCTTCCAGGCACAGGGCCCGCAGGTGGTTGGCTGACGGCCACAATCTAACAACAGGCAGTCCCTTGAATGCCTAGCGTGTCTGGCGTTCCTGAAATACGCGCTGAGCAAGCTTATCTCGACACAAGTGCTAAGATTCACACACTATGTGCATGTAGCATCGTTGGAGGCGTGCCTGTGACTCGTTCCCTGCTCAATATCATATGCGTCCTGCGTCATGCGTGTGGGCCAGAAAACAAACGACACCACCACACCTACGCCCACACGGGACATAGCGTATACCAGGAAATCTGGCGTGGCTTTTGCGTTGTATTATGCGCTACGGCCACCGATGGGCCGTAGCGCAACATAGAGAGCCGTAGGTGGGGTGGTGTCGCTTGTTTTTTGGTCGAGCGTACCCACCGTCGACGGGAGGGAAGGAGGAGCCAGGCAGGCGGTTCCCTCCGGACGGTGCCTGGGCGGAGCTGTCGTTGGTCAGCTGGAGGCCCGCGCCGTACTTACAGCGCAGCTCCTTGCCAGTCGGCCCGACAGTCCTCCTCGCCCTCCTCCTCCCCCTTTTCTTGTTTTTCCTCCGATTCCTCCTCATATTCCCTCCTCATCCCTCCTCCTATTCCTCCTCCTCATCATCCTCCTCCTCCTCTTCCTCCTCCTCCTCGTAGTATTTCGCATTACGGTTAAAACTAGCATTCGCATCCTTCTTAGTATGACGCTTCATTGTTGTTATTGCTAATACGGATCCACGTATTACTACCATATTTCATGATTTTTACGATTGTTCATTACGACTGTTTTTAGCATATTGACTATGAGGAATATCATGTTTACTGAATTGCTACTATAACGTTAATCATGTCATCATTAGTTCTCGGGTTATTATGTTTCTTCTTGATCTTCATAGTGTTAGTTTTAATCTTACTTTGGTTTACGAACGTTACTGTTATTGGTCATGAATACGATTGTTCGTAATACTATGAGTTTTCCTCCGTGTTATCAGCGTTATTGGTCTTAATATCACTAAAATTAGTATGCGCATCAGTATTCTTACTACTAGCATTAGAAGTATTACTATGTTCTGCATACGAGCATGATTCTTATGTTTACGAATACTATGATTATTGCTGAAATGATTTGTCTGCTCTCCGTCAGGAGGTGAGCTTTCGCAGCCCGATTAAAAGGCAAAGGGTGTAGTTGCTCTTCATGGCGATTTTCATCTTGCAATAATACTATGCTCAGATCCGTGCGACGCATGGGAAAAGGTACTCATTGTAGCCATGGCTTGGTATGGTGTTGCGCCGTTAAGCTATGGTTAAGATCGCGTCACTAATGGATGGCCAGCTGGCCGGCGGGCGCGCGCGGCGGGCGGGCCAAACCTCTCTTCGGCAAACAAAGCCAACACAGCTTCGGTAAATGTCAGCCGATGATGCCGAGGCTAGGCAGGGGCGCGACTAAATCAACTCCCCCCGCGGCCTCCCCGGCGAGCTCCAATCGCACGGGCGGGCGCCAACGATTTGCCAACGCACAAAGATTGCTATAAAACGGCCCGTCGCGCCGCGCCCGGCAGGCAGCTCACCCGCTACCCGGCTCGCAGCGCCCTGGGACGCCCCGTGCACAACGCGGTTGCGTCGAGGGGGCACCCGCAGCATAGCTGCAAGTGCCTCTCGTTCTCTTCCCCGCAGCCTTACCAGGTGCTTGAGCCCCAGCTCCAAGACGACCGCCAATTGTCGGCGTTCTCTCGCCATGGGCCATGGGGGAAAGGAGTCCGCATTCTGCCGTTCGTCGTCGGAATGCTCGCGCCATGGCGGGGCGCTGCCCGCGCGGCGCCGCGACGCATCGGATGCGCCATGCCAGAGAAAAGCAACGTCCGCGCGCAGCCGGGCATCTCTCGCGGCCGGCGGCCCCAGCGCCCTGGCGGAGCCCGAAGAGGCGGCCCCCGAGCGTGGGGGGTCCCACTGGGTCGGGTTGTCAGCTCGGCGTCGTCTGGATTCCTGTCGATCATCTGGCGCGCGACTGCTTCGCCTCTTAGCTCCCTTGAGGTCACTCTCGGTCTTCTTGCCCTTGCCCTCGGCGTCGCCCGATGTTCTTGCTGCCGCAGGGCGGCCCTCAGGCCTCATAGAGCCAGGCCTCTTTTCTCCTCTGGCAGACTGCGCTCGCGGGGGGGCACCGATCCCAACATCGCCAGGTGGTGCCGGAGCCATTGCTTCACGCGCTGTCGGTCGTGGAGCTCCCAGAAATTCTACCGGCGGTCAAAAATCCCCCATTTCCCGTTCCACGACAGCTTTGATTTGACTGAGCGGCTGGACTTCAGCGCTCCGCGGGGACTCTCTGCACCACGCAGACCGACCATCCCGCGCTGGGCTCTTCGGCGATGGCGGTCCTCTGGGAAGGCAAAATGGCAGTCAAATGGTTCTAGAATGGCATAGCCGCCCCCACCCTGCACCCTCCTGCCGACGCACGGCCACCACATCCATGGAGGAACAACCACGCTACTACCAGTAGCGGACGTCTTGAGCTGCACGTTCTGGAACTTGATCCACCTGAGACCCAACTTCTTGGCCTTCTCCTGCATGCGGGGGTTCGGTTGCTCGGGCAGCTCGTCATCTGGGGACATTGGCTGCCAGGCGAGGAACGTCACGACGTTGCTATGCAGCGCGGTCTTGCCTTGCAAGCAAATCTCTCCACGGGCGCCGATGCCATCTTCACCAGCGTCTTTCCATCTGTTCTGCGCACCTACCTGAACCCGGTCGGTATCATAGCCCTTCCACTCCCCCCCTGCACTCTGCGCCGCAGGGGTGGAGGCATAGCCACCTTGACCCTCCTGCTTGGCCGGACCGACATCTCGGAAGTCGATATGAGGCCGAATCATACCAGGCGCCGCAACGAACAGGCGTCCTGCACGCGAGGCAGCTCGATGTACCCAACCGATTGCGGCAATCGCTGCTGCACAGGAGGTAGCCATCATCCCAGAACTGTCGCGCGCAGAGCGCAGTCTTCTTCGCAGTAAAAGCAAGCACATCATCGCCATCAATACCAGGTACCCAAACGAGAACTTGATGCTGCCTGATCCAATCTATACCCGCCATATCGAAGTCAGGGAACTCTGAGCGCAGTGTACCTTCGGTCATAGACCAAGATCCACGAGATCTGGATCCATTGCATCTCAAACACGGGAAGACGCAAGATATGACGCCGCTCCACTTGGGCCAGAACGCAGTCGCCAAGGAGCCGTCGCGTTGAATCCAGATGTCCTGATTCTCGAAGATGCGGGGCTCGAATGTGAGCACATGGGACTCCAGGAGGGGGCGTGGATCTGCCAGATCGAAAACACTGGCATCCAATGTTAGGCCGGCTACAGCGCGCGCCCAGCCTGCAGGTCTAAGCCACGTCGGCAGCTGCCCGTGCATTTTGCCGCACTGACCCTCGGTGCTCTCCGCGCAAGCTGAACTGCCCCACCCGACCCCGGCCCATGTTCTCTGACAGCTGCGCCTACAGGGGCAGGGCACAGCCCAAGCTTAGTCGGCAGGCAGGTCAGGAAACGGCACTGGCGCACGCCCTGGAGGCCCCGCTGTGGTAGCACAACATGCCCGGTCATAGACCTTCGCACCGAGGCATCGCCCAATGGAATAACCATTGACTGGTGGGAGCGCCTCGCCGCCGCATCACACCTGATTTGTATGCGTTTAGGGTCAACGAGTTGGACAAAGTGACCCTTGCACAACGTGGCTTGGACCCAAGAGGTAATCCCAAGGCAGTGCCAGGCGTCTATTTGGCCACGACAGGGAAATCGCGGACTGGATTTGCCTATACTGTTCTACCGATGCGCTGCCCAGGAAACTGGCGTCCGAGCAAACGTAATCCATCTGCGCTCGAGTTGCCCCCCGTTTCCTCCTCCAAATGCGTTGTTGCAAATCGTCCACAACCTCCGGAGCAAGCGTGTTAAGCGCCCGCAGGCCCAAGCCGCCTAATCATTCAAATATACCTTGCTATCGCTCTCGTTGTTTCTCGGGTCGACGGAAACAAAACCGCCTGTGATGGGGTCATGAAGTGCAGGGAGGGTGCAGCTGAAATCACCTCCCATGGATTAGACGAGTAGCCGGAATAACTTGGCACGATTTCCACGTTTGGATCAACTTCGAAATGCTTTCCACGAGATCGAAAACTTCGTAATCAGGGCACCTAGAATGAGGTATGTGTACTGACACAAAATTGATGCACAAAATTTGCACTGCTGAACACAAGTCTGCATTCTCGGTCCACCGAATGCCCGCGCGGAGCTCCTGGGGGACCACGACGCCAGAGTCACATCCAACCTCCGAAAGAACCAGGCTGCCTGCGAACTCACAGTCTGTCCACGATCGCACCTCCTGCAACAGTGTGACACAGCAGTGGTATGATTCCCCAAGGTTTCTCACCACTTGCCTGCGCCACTTCTCCAAGTTGTTCTGCTGCAGGTTGTGTGGCAAAACTCGGAGGCTTCGAATTACACGGTGGAACTCGGTTGCTGGGCCCCGCTATTTGCGGCCGGACAGGGCCAAGAACTCTTCCTCCTCCATGTTGAAAAACTTGGTGGTGTTCCTGACGTTCACAACCAAATCCCCCTGGTCCGATACCTCCCCGATCAAGTACGCCCTCCCTCCCTATCCAGTACAGACGCCCCCCAGCCACCCTCACTCTTCACTCCCTCCTCCCGACTGCCCCCTCCTTAATGACATCATGTGAAAACTAATATCATAATTTCCCTGGTGCTGTTTTGGGCGGGGGCGCCCCGCCCCCATACACTGGTTTTCCGTAGGC